TGGAAATAGGATTACACTAAGATGTTTAGAAATTTTTTATTTTTTTTATTTATTTTTTAAAAGATTTTATTTATTTATTTGAGAGAGAGAATGAGAGAGAGAGAGAGTACATGAGAGGGGGGAGGGTTAGAGGGAGAAGCAGGCTCCCTGCCGAGCAGGGAGCCCGATGCGGGACTCGATCCTGGGACTCCAGGATCATGACCTGAGCCGAAGGCAGTCGCTTAACCAACTGAGCCACCCAGGCGCCCCTGTTTAGAAATTTTTTAAAAGTAAAAATTAAAATCACTGCAACCTATAAAACAGTAAGTTAATCCGTAAAATGTAAGAAAACAGTGTTCAAAATAGGATTACAACCCATTAAAAGTCAAATTTTTAAAACAAAAATTAAATAAAACCAGAGCTGACACCATCCAAAGCCAGAATGAAATTAAAACGACATGAAAACTATACAGGCAAATTAATGAGCAGGTTAAACAGGGAGAGACTAAAGAAATGATTTTTCAGAGGAAAAGAATTCAGCGGTTATGTATTTCATCTAGAGATACCAGGTATACCGTACACGAGAATAAATGTGAAATTGCAGTCATAACTGTGTTTGATACAACCACGTTACTTAAATTATAAGAAGACTGCAGTATGCTAATTAATTTATTACAAAACATAAATGATGTGGTAATGTTCTCCCAATTTGGCACAGATTTTTCTTTGTCGTCATTTCAATGTCATTTCATTAAATGTCATTACAGTGACAGTGTTCAAAAATATGTCTGCAAAGGAACAATGAAAAAAATACCAGGGAGCTCAAATGTTTTTACAAATGACCCTGAGTTAATTAGAAAAATATGCACCCTTCCCAGTTCTTCTTCTCACGTGTCAGCTCTCATTAAATTAAAAAAAAATCTTTTCTCATTTCAAAGTTAAGGAATCCTATGGCTAACAAAACTTTTAAACTGGGATCAAGTGGGCACATTCCTACGTTTCTGTATGATGTCATACCAAGCAGTTCACAGCTGAATTTGAATTTGCGAGAACTATGAATGATTTTTCAATATAAGAAGTATCTGATCAAATGCTAATTTTTTCTCTATAGGCTAACTGTGCTGGAACAGGTGGCCCTGCTTTCAATTATGGAGGGCTAGCATGCCAGTGTGAGGCCTGGATTAGTTCACCTTCTCACGGGGAATTCTCCTCGGTTGGGAATGGATTTATTATGGCTTCACACATGGAATAGAGCTCATGTCAGCTGAGGGCAGTGACACATCATATGATTCAAATTAACCTGCTGTGGACTGTTCCGCAGGGCTTAGATTGTGTATTAAAATGACGACATTTTAAAAACAGCTTGAAAGAAACCAGGATTGCTGAACTGCAATGGTTCCAATTTGTTCCAACTAATCTATCACCTGCTGGAGATATTATTCTAGTGGGTTTCTGGTAGCTGCTGCTTTCCAGGTTTCTCCAAGCCACTGACCTTGCTAATGGGTACAACTGTTGCCTCTGAAGGAAGGAGATGGGGGTGAGAGAGCTTTGAAGGGCTTTTCTGATGTGGAAGTTGGGACCTACCATTTGCTCTGAGGTACTATTAAGTGAACAGAGGAAATAAGGGAATACTCAAGAACTTTTGAATTATTTTTCCAAAAACAAGGGCTAAAGAGCAGCATTTGTATCACATTGTTTAGATAAATAATCCCTGCAAAATAAATCCGTAAGGCTGAATTCAAAAGCTGTTAAGTTTTCACCTTAAGAAGAAAACTTAAGGTTAGGTAGTTATAATCAGTATTTTCTGTATTCTTCAGGGTCGTAACTTTTATTGCTGCTGAAATGTTAATTCAGGAGCAAGAAAAGAATAAAAGTATACCATTTTAGAGCTGTAGCATAAAACTCTGGGAATGATACTTAAATAGGAAGTGCATCTAGATTAAAAAACTAATGTTAGCAAAAGATTCTTAATGGTAACACCACATACAAAAGACTATTTTTTTAAAGGAAGGGAATGACATTGGGGAATATTATAAAGCTGAAGCTTGTTTCCCTTGTCTCAGCATAAATAATATTCCTCTTAGTACGCCATTTTCTAAAATCTGGAAACAAGATAATTTTCTTGAGTTACCAAAAATCTATAAAATAAGACACTCCTATGGTAAGAAGTACTTTATGTGTCCTGTATTTCTATTGATCTCTAAATTAATATAGAGTGGCAATTTGGCTGTGTAGTAAGAGAATATGATTAGTCTATGGACTAACATCTTATATACTTTACATGACAAATTATTTACAGTAAGGAAATTTTTGTCTAAGATAGTAAATTCTGGAGCAGTTCAAAGATGTTAGGTTAGTATGTAGTGGAATCCCACACAACTGATATACCATTCAAACTAATCTTCCCTCAAATACTTTATGAAAGAAAACTACTCTTGGTTAAAATGTTTTAGACTTTGAAGAACTTAAACCATTAATTAGACACTGTATTTGATTTTTCATAATAAAAGTACAATTTAAAAAACCACTTATCATTCTTTCTATCATTCCCCTCTCCTGTGCCCCAAAATATCTGCAGTTTGGTCCTCAATAGCCGTGTGTGTGTGTGTGTGTGTGTGTATCTGTATTCATTCATTCATGAATCATATAAAAGCTTTTTACAAAAGTGTAGTCTCCAGCACCAATCCCACTTTACCTGGGAGCTTGTTAGAAATGTAGAATTTCATTCCCACCTTCTAGAACTATTAAACTATTTGCATTTTAACAAGCTTACCAGAGATGCTTCAAATGCACACTCAAGTCTGAGAAGCGCTACTATAAAATAACACTTTCAATCCATTTGTTCAAAAGTTGAATCTCCAGATAGATTATCACTCTTATTGAATAAACATTAAATAAGGAATGGCATATACGTAATTTCTAACTTAAAGAAGTGTAAGAAACACAAAAGTATAACTATTTAAAAAAAATCACATCTCTAATAGTCACATTAAATGCTAGAATTATAAACATAATTTTTCATTCATTCATTGACATTTCTCCTGAAATGTAATTTCTTTGGTTGCCATGAAAATATACATAATTATGGATTTGTAGATCCCATTCTTTAACAAATCAACCAAATATAAACTAGAAGGGAACTTTCTAGCCAAAGTGAGTGAAAGACTGTGCCTAAAAACAAAAAAAATCTGAAACTAAAAAAGAGAAGAGGGAAACCCAAGTTTCTTTCTCACTTCTTCATGAACTAATCATATGTTCTTACACAATTTCACCCATTCTCACATGTTCAGTCTTTTACATGTGAACAACTCTGAAGTCAGGAAGTGCCTTGAAATGGATATAATAAGAAAGCACTGTATCATAGTTTAAATAGCAGATATTTTTTCTTTTTTCTTGGTACATAAAATGTTTTTTCCTACAATTGATGATGGCTTGGATTCAATGAAATATGGTATTTCACACTCACTAGCCAAGTACTAGACTCACATTACTCTCAATCTATCCATTACCTCACCCCAAAGACTTCTTCCAACTTTAATGACTCTCTTAGCTTTCATCATTAGCTTCTTGCTTTCCTTTGAGTCTTTAAAACCATGTCTAGATACTTATAATGATTAGAAATAGTTCTTCATACTTCTATACCTTTTAAATCCCAGCACCGGGAAGAACAGGGCCCCAGGGAAAGGGGCAGTGTAGGTGGCTTTAGGCTCTCTTTACTCCAGACATGATGACAAGTGGCCTTCAATCTGTGGCCACGGCTCATGAGTGCATTGGTCTGCCATGACACACACTGAACCAGGTCCATGCAGGGATATTTTTCACTCATCAAAATTCACACTTTGCAGAGTATTGCTAGAGATCTCAAGACAGTTTAACACCATTGTTTTAAATTCTTAATGAAGAAACTAATATTTTTTGATGACTAATACGTTTTGAAGCACTGTAAATATAAATGAAAATGCAGTAATTTTTATTAAATAGTTAAGATCTCATTGAAGTGAAGGAAGAATAATAAAAAGAAGAGGAGGAGGAACAGGACATGAAGGGAGAAGAAACAGAGCAGGCAAAAGAAAGAAGAGGAGAAGGAGAAGAGAGGAGAAATCTATGGCTGTGCTAAAATTAGTGCAGTACAGAAGTGATCTAGGTCTTTGGAGTCATAAGACCTGGGTTTGAATGGCTCCACTGCCATTCCTTCACAGTTTTAAGTCTTAACTTTCTAATTCATAAAACAGGCATAATTATAGTGCCTCCTCCTTGGGTCTATATGAGTATGTAAAGCACTTAATACCTGGTACTGATAAGCACTCAATACATTTTGATAACCGTATCTATCTATCTAAAACTGAGTGTTAATTTCTCAAGCACACTGTTAAGTATTTGAAATAAGTATACTTATCCAATTGAATATACCCATGTCTATTATCTTATGTAGATATATCGTGTATCTCATCCATCCATCCAACCACCTACCTATTTTATTCTTTTTGTTTACAGTAAGGAGACTGAGGCATAGGAGATTAGATCAACTGCCTAAGGTCACACAGTTAGCAGAAAAGGTAGAAATAAAGTCTTGGGTCTTTGGCTTACAGTCAATATTCTTTAATTGATAACTACTTTTTTGTCAGACCAAAGGTAATTTTTTTCTAAAGATTTTATTTATTAATTTGAGAGAGAAAGAGCACGAGTTGGGGAGGGCCAGAGGGAGAGGGAGAAGCAGACTCCCCGCTGAGCAGGGAGCCTGACTTGGGGCTTGATCCCAGGACCCCGAGATCATGATCTGAGCCGAAGGCAGACGCTTAACCAACTGAACCCCCCCGGCGCCCTAGACCAAAGGTAATTTTTAATGCATATTAATATTTGCCTTTTAATCTCTAGAATGGGCAGCCTGAGAAGAATACACTTCTGGAAAACGAACTATTCATTTTTTGCAAGGAATGTCACAATTACTAACAGACCCTAAGTACATGTTAATATACTCACATGAAAAAAATGTATACACATTTGAATTATGACTTTCTTACCTGGTCCATTAAGAAAGTCTTTAATTTGTAGCGTTACCAGGGAGGGTGGAATACCACTTTTGCTGTCTATATCTCCAGGCACTGTCTGCAGCCAAACTGTGCAGTAATCAAGGGCTTCAGGCAGAGTCTTCCCGGGATCTGAAGTGACAAAATTGAAATTAAAAATGTCACACACATCACAAACATCTCATTTTGGTGTAAGAGCTTTAGCTGACAATAAGAAAAAATGGTTAAATTCACTTCTGTAACCTCCATTGATTCATCTGTTTGTACATATCCTTGTCACACAAGTACTCACATGGACAGAGAGAAGCTCTCTCTCTACATTGGAATGATGAAACCATGCTTTCCAGAGCCAGGCCAAAAAGGAAACGACATTTCAAATCTTAACTCGTATTATCTTTGAATGAAGGTAAAGTTTCTGTACTCTGAGCTGCTGTTAATAGTTGTATAGTTGGATTTCTTTTCCTTTTTTTTTTTTTAAACAGGATGTTGGAAACAAATTAAAGAAAGAAGGGCAAGCTTTTTAGCTTAAAAAAAGGCAAATATATGTTCAAAGATGCAGTGGATTAGTACTACTTAGGGTCTATTTGATCTGTTTCAGAGTTTTACTGACATTACAATCACTTTTTACTGCTAGGCTTTTGAAGTTAACTTCAGTAGCTTTCCCATAACCCTCTTTAATGATAAAAATTGGTCAATCTTTTATTAGTCCCAATTATAACTAAATCTTGACTTTTTTCTGTTTTGACTTTTTCTGTTACTGTGTATTTTTTACTTTTTTCTGGTTTATATAGTACATTCTTTAAAAAGTATTTTTTAGCTATTGGTGAATGCAAACTGAATTTGCTTTTTACTGCTTGGCAATCCAGTTTTTTTTTTTTTTTGGCAATCCAGTTTTTATTGAAATAGCTCTTTAAATAAAACGACTGCTGTATCTTGGCATACAATGTAGTAGGCTTTTAAAAAAACTTCTAAATATTCACAGTTTTTCTTTAGTTTCAAGATTGTTTTATTCTCTATGTTTTAATAGCCTCTGAATGTCAATTTTATAGGGATGTTCTTGCCATAGAGTCCATCTATTCACCTTTCAGTCGATTTGAAATGTGTTATTAAAGTGTTATTTATTTTAAGTTTTATTGATTGGATTGCTTTCAAGAATAGCATTTACATACAGTGTATTATATTCAACATATGGTTATATAGTATTACTGTCATATGTGAACTGGGCATATAAATTCTGCCTTGGAATTTGTATTTCTTGACCTTATCATGTGATTCTTATGAAATTTGGCACTTATGAACCTTTATGTGATTTCAAAGAAAACACTGAAAGCAATTGATTGTGACATTAGATCTACGTGGTAAAGATCAAACACCAAGCTAGTGCATTCTTCTCTTTTTATATGATCAGTGAATTTCAAGCAGTGAGAATATGCATAGTAGATCAATTACACACTAACACTATACTATTCTCTCTTTCAAATATAATGGTCAAGTGTCGTGAAATAATAGCAAAAGTCTATTGCTGGTAGGATCTATAATCAATTTGTAGGAGCTATGTAACTTTACAGGACCTGAGTGTCTACTTCTAGAGTCCCATCTATGTAGCCATCATCAAGAAGCAGTTATTATCAAGTAAACGGTACTGTGCTAGACCTGTATGAGGAGGCTTAATTCTTCATTTTGAAGAGAATACAAGCTAAAGAGAGAACAATGACCTAACAGAGAAAACAGACCTAAGTGATGTAACTAAATAAATAATGGACAGAGAGGAATTAAACTGATGTAGAAATTACCAGCATGATAAACACAATTAGCAGAAAAGGTAGAAATAAAGTCTTGGGTCTTTGGCTTACAGTCAATATTCTTTAATTGATAACTACTTTTTTGTCAGACCAAAGGTAATTTTTTTCTAAAGATTTTATTTATTAATTTGAGAGAGAAAGAGCACAAGTTGGGGGAGGGCCAGAGGGAGAGGGAGAAGCAGACTCCCCGCTGAGCAGGGAGCCTGACTCGGGGCTTGATCCCAGGACCCCGAGATCATGATCTGAGCCGAATAAATAAAACTTAGGATGAACAAACAAGTTATAGGGATCACATATTCAAACTTGTGTGACAGAAAAGGGATATCATTAATATAAAGAGCTCATATAGTCAATATAGATATTAATAGAGAAAAATGGGTAAAGAATAAGCAATTATTAAATGAAGAAATTAATAAAGCAAATAGAGATGAAGAAAACAAATGGCATATAAACATTTTAAAATATAAACATTATGAGATACTAAATCTTAGTAATAATCAAAGAAAAATTTTTTTAAACAAGTAGAATTTTTCACCTATCAGATAGGCCAAGACTAAAAAACTGATAATGGCTGTGTAGCTTGTGGACGTGCGTGCATGCACACACACACACACGCGCGTGCACACACATACTGTAGAACTGCTAATCATAGTAAACAGCAGAAAACAACTTAGACGTTCATCAACGGATTGATGCTTAAATAAACAACAGTGATCCATAGAACTGTTTAGAAGACTCAAGAAGATCTATATGTACTGACATAGTAAAAGCCATCTTACATTGTTAATAGTAAAAAACAAAGCAGGTTAAGCATCTTTTCATATACTGGCCATTTGATTCCTCTTCTACAAAATATTTACTTATTCTTTTTTTTATTAGTTAATGAGTGCTATGTTAATTAGTTAATGTCGTATGTAGCAAATATTTCCTCTTGGGATGGTAGTTGTCCTTAAAATAAATTCTGATGCTTTTTGCAAGCATACTTTTTTATAGATGTGAACAAAAATCTATTAACTTTTATTTAATGGCTTTATCCCTAGGTGATTACATATTTTCCTGTAGTTTCTTCAAGCATTTTTAACATTTTGGTTTTACCTTTAGCTATTTAATCCTTCTAGAGAGCACCGTTTTATGAAAAATAGGAAAAAATGCTCAGCCTGACAATCAACCACATACAAGTTAAAACAAGAAGTTTTTTTATTCGACAGCTTAGCATAAATTAAAAAGATTGATAATACCTTGTATGGGGGAGAAAGAGAAGAAATGGATCTTCCTATGTAAGGTCGATAAGAGTGTAGATATAGTATTTCTGAATGAGGAGGGGAGAAGTTGAAAATGAGTGTCTACCAAAATTCTAAATATCCATGCCCTTGTCATTAGGAAGGCCACACAAAGGACTCTACCTTAAAGAAATAAACCTACCTGCATATATACATATGTACATATTGGAGGATGATCATCTTTAGGATGATCCTAAGCATATAATGATGCATGGACCTATATTCACAGCTGAAGAAAAAACAGGATGACACATCAAGCATCTAAAAAAACTGAAGTGAAGGGGAAAGGGAAAAAGCACTTCAAAGGATATTTTGATGTTCTATTTTCATCAAGGTATAGACGGGGGAAGCACAAAATTCTGATGTGGATGAGGGTTTTCTAAGTAGGGGAGATAGGCTTTGTGCAGGTTGCTTCTCTTTTCATAGAAGTTAGAGGGCCTGGCCATCTGGCACCCAGCCTTGGAGTCTGCACTGGGGCAATTACAGAGGGATATGACTTAATGGAGATGGAATAAACAAACTGGCAATAGTAGGAAGCAGAATGGGAATTAGGAATTTAAAAAAATGTAAAAGTCTAGGAAATCTATCTAAAGAAGCCAAACTTTCAGTGACTGTTTTCCCCCCAAATTACTGGTTTAATGATATTGTTGGTTTAATATGGCTACACAACTGATTAGAAAGTACAGCTGTATTTATAGAGCTGACAGAACAGAATAACTGAATTGAGGAACATCCAGGAAAATACAGGTTGCATGGTTGATGAATACAGAATGTATGACAGGACAGTGGCTATTCTCCCAGTTTTAGCTAAAATCTCTACTTTGGATATGCCTCTAGTCACAGTGGTGAGATGATGTGGAAGTAGTAGCAGAAAGGTCTGTCAGAGTCCCACAGAAATAGCTCAAGTCTGCAAGTCACTATTTCGTCCCTTATGCTCTAATAGCTAGACGATGAGGGGCATGACTTTTAGACTTCCTGTAATGTCTTTGATTTCACTTCTCCTTAATTCCATCATCAAGTCTAGAAAATGGGATTCATATTACACATTCCTCAGGGTCAATGTAGCTGGGAAAGTACCAGATAAACTAAGATTAAAGGAGCCTTTGAATATAATATAAATAGAATGACAAATAGGGATGACTACTTCATACTGGAAGCTCCTTCAGACTTTGACAGTCTTCTTCGCTGTACTTAGCAAACACCTATTTATTTGAGCACAGGAAGCTCTCGGAAAGAGTAAGCTCCTGCTGATGTAGATGAGCACATTTATGCTGTTGTCCCTAAGCCTAAGAAACAGGAGACAGTGGTATCTTATTAGGAGTTACAGAGCGGGGGAAATGGGTCCGAATAAATGACAAGTTGCTCATAGCCATAAATCCTGTTCAAAGTCAGTGAGAATTCACTTCAATAAGACAATGGTACTGACAAAGTTATACAATTTGTTTTCCTTCTTGGTTGACCTGGCCTCCAAAAGAAAATACTTCATCATATCCCGTCACAAAGAACACCCAAAGAGAAGATTCAGGAAGTCTCCAGTCCTTTCACAGATGGATCAAGATATTACTGGCTTTCACAGAGCCTTGTTTCAGATTGTATTGTGTTTGTAGATCACTTTGCCCTTCTTCACAAACCTTCATGTCACTTAACTGCTTGGGAGGTCCTCCTCTGAATCTGATAAAAGTGATCTTTGTCCTGCTGCTCATTATTATTTTTTAACCCTTAGCAAATATTCACAGAGTTAAGTACGTTTTTGCCTAACATTTGAATTATATAAAATATAACATGATTCAGTGTGACCTGTTCTTATTTTCTTTGCAATCTTCAACTTAGCCAAAATTTGTTTTCCAAGCTCACATAGAACAGCTGAATGCTACAGATTTTGTAAGCTTTATTCTACTACTTTATTCTATTCTACTTTATTCTACTCTGCTTTGTTCTACTATGTGGCAGGAATTTTTTTTTTTTTTAGTAATTGAGCTGAATTTTTATGAAGGTCCCAATGAGAAGACATTTCCCCACAGATGTCAGTGATAATTTCCCCATTTTAAAG